ACTTCCTCCCTCTATATTGTTTCCCTCTCCCAGATTCCAAGACAGAAAATGAGGGTCACCTAGCCTTCTTCTATCCCTCACTCCCTAAAAATGACCAAAAGCTGTGACTTGTCACTTTTGTCTCCTGACCTCCAAATGCCTGACTATCCCTTGGCTGAGTTCGGGCCCTCATCATTTTTGACTTATCACTGCAGTAGCCCATTAAATTATTCTCCCTAATTTCAGCCTCATCTTCCAACCCATCCTCCATGCTGTTGCTATTTCTAAAATACAAATTTGATCATGTCTTTCCCCTACTTAAAATTCTTCATTTGATTTCCATCACCTTCAGGGTAAAAAAATCCAGTTTCTTTAGCATGTCACACAAAGTCCTTTGAGTTCTGACCCCTATGTCACTATTGCTCTGACCTCTTTTATTTCATCCCTGCTTCTCACCCTTGACCTAGCACATCACACTTTGGCTCTAGATGTAAACATTTAGAGTTCCCTGGACAAACTGTGCTCACTCACTTCGGAACATCTGCCCTTGTTGCTTGTCTGGTTGGAATCACACCTCCCCTCCCCACTGCCAAGCTTTCCTGCCCAGTCCCACTGATCCCTTTGGCCCTTTAGATCCCAGGTGCACATCTCTTCCAGGGGTTTGGGGGTTAGAGCTATTCCTCTGTGCACAAATTTGTCACAGTACTTATCACATTGCAGAACAATTGCTTGCTTCTTTCTGACTGTCAATCAATTGTGAGTTGCTGAAGTTAAGGCAGAATCTTTTATTTTGGTTTCTTAGGGTCTCATATATTCCAGGCACATATAATAAACATTTGTGGGTTGAATAAATAGACTAGGGTATGAATTAAGGTCTGATTTCAAACTCATGCTTTTCCATGTGGCATCATATGCTATTATTTGTGGCATTCATTCATTCACTAAGTATCAAATGAACATATTCATTCATTCAATAAATATTTAATGGGTATCTATTTTGAGCAGGCATTTTGCTAGTACTGTAGGTTCCAAAGTGTCATCTGGATATGTTCCTATTTTCCTTTTAGCTGCTGTCTGTCATAGCTGATTATCCTTTGTTGTCCCGACTCTTTGGGAGGTTTCCATCAGTCTTTTGGTCTGATTCCTGAGTCCTTTCTGACTTCTGAACTGTTGCTGCACACTGTTCCTACCTGCCATGTTTGCATTTGATATCTGGCCGACCTCACTGTGTTGTCCATTGAGCCAAATTTCCAATCTGGGCCTGCTCTATCCTATTTGCACCTCCCTCCACCCAGTGCTGGCACAAACACTTATTGAAGATGATGGGTTCCTTTCATTTGAGCTTTATTATCTAGTTTTGTTTTTTTTTTAATTCACCCATGGTCTGTTGAATTTAATGGGCTTTCTCTTCCATTTCTCCCAATCAAGCTCCTTATTGCTTTTGAATCCCTGACATTTTTTCCTTTGAAACTTTTTATCCCTAATCTCTATGGATGACATTATACATCCTTTGGATCTTTTCCTCCTTTCCTTTTCCTTTTTTCTTTTTCTTCTGGTGCTGGGAATCAAATCCAGGTTGTATCAGTCAGTGCTTACTAGAGAAACAGATTTAATGCAAGATATACGAATGTATAAGAATTTACAAGTTTGTCTTACAGTGGCCGCCTGCAGAGTCAGGTGTGGAAAAGTGCAAAAGAGCTCTCTGTGCACTGGAGATCTGAAGGATCCAGTCAAAGGCCAGGAGCTCACTGCATTGTCCCGTGCAAGTCCATATCAGGAAGCCCAAGGGTCTGTGCTGGAAGCCAGGGGACAACATCCAAAGTGAAGGTGAAGACTGGAGCTCCTCCAAAGTAATGAAAGCGAGCCTTCCTTCTTCATTCCTCTTTTATTCCGCTCAGACGACAAGCCTATTGGTTGGTGTCACTCACACCCAGGGTGGGTCTTCTGTCTTCAGTAAATCCCTTCAGCCACAATCAGAACTATGCTGATCTAATGTAGCTGGGTATTTCTTATTCAGGTTGACATATCAGTTAACTATCACACAAGGCCTCACACATGCTAGGTGCACACTCTGCTACGCCGAACCCTCATCTTTTCCATCTGTATTCTAATTGCTCCCTTTCCCCTCTCTTCTGGTGGATTCTCTTTTTTCCCAAGTGTAGGTTAGGGAAAACTGTGCCCACCACCCCCACACCCTGCCCCAGGCTCAATCTCAGTCTTGCTATCTTTCTTTTGTATTACTTCCTAACACTTCAACTACTTACAAGGCTCTGGTAAAATGTAAAAATAGCTAACATCTTAATATCACAGCTTTTGGAGCACCTTTATACTGTTTTATTTCACTTATCCTCGTCTTAGAATACACACGTTTCCAAAATCTACAAATTTGGTTCCATGGGATCTTGCTATTCTTAGCAGTCATTTCTGATGCCTCCTCAAGCTAAATTTTATTATATTCTTTTCTCTGGATTTCCACTGTACTTGCCCAAACTTCCATCATAGAGCTTATAAATATACCATGCCTTTGCGTTCACATGACTGTCTCCTACTGGACTGTAAGGTCTATGTGGCATGGGGTTTTCTATCCCAACACCCAATAATATGTGACCCTGGACTGGGGATTTAGCTCAGTGGTTCTGCCACCTGCCTCCCAAGCGCAAGGTCCCGAGTTCGATCCCTGATACCCCCCCAAAAAATAATAATATGTGACCCTAATGTGTGCTTAGCAGTTGATGAAGGATTGCACAATTTCCTGTATTCCATGGCTCTGAATTCCAAGAGTCACTTTGAACCTTTTTCTAAATTTTTTTTTGTACTGGGGATTAAACTCAGGACCTTGTGCTTGCAAAGCAGGTGGCGGCACCATTGAGCTAAATCCCTGGTCTCCTTTTCTAAATTCTTAAAACTTTTTTTTTTTGGTATTGGGAATTGAGCTCAGGCCCTTACGCTTGCCAGGCCGATGAGGTGCCCCTGAGCTATATCCCCTGCTTTTTTTTTAAACTTTTTTTTGGTAAATTCTTTTAATAACAATGTGTTATTATCATTATTATTAGTAGTAGTAGTAGTAGTAGTAGTGGTAATACTGGAGATTGAATCCAGAGCCCTACCCATGCTAGTAAGGCAAGAGATTAGGATACGCAAACTAGCTGGGCAAGTGGGTATGACCTGATCTGTCATTCATGGAGATCCAGGAGACATGCCCAAGTCCTGCACCTGGAGCCAATCAGAAAGCACTATCTTCAGTTCTCCTCATGAGAATCCAAGCAGGTTTTTGATAAGAGGCCTAGACCTGGGCTGGGGATTTAGCTCAGTGGTTCTGCCACCTGCGTTGCAAGTGCAAGGACCCAAGTTTGATCCCCGGTACCAAAAAATAAGAGGCCTAGACCTGACCTCAGCCTGAGGAGTGGATGGCTGCCATTAAGCTCCTGGCCACTGAGTTGTCTCTCTCACAGTGGACCACTCTCACACTTCTTTTCTTACTTTTAATTGGCCTGCACTCACTCCACACAGCATATTTCTTTTCCTACCTTTAATAAATGTAAAACATCACTTTTTTCACTTTTTTGCTTGTTTTGTCCAATGCTTTGCTCAGGACAAGAAGAACCTAGAAAGCATTCTAGGAGTCTCCAGCACCCCAGAACCAAGTCACACTAAGAAGTACTCTACCATTGAACTATATCTCCAGGCCCTCATCCTTTCTCTCCTCTCTCTCTCTCTCTCTATATATATATGTATATATATACACATATATACATATACATATATATATACATATATATATATATTTTTTTTTTGGTACCAGGGATCGAACTCAGGACCTCCAGCTTGCGAGGCAGGCACGGTGCCACTGAGCTACATCCCCACCCCTCCCCCCCTTTAAAACAGGGTCTTTTTTTGTATATGTACTGCTGAAGCGAGCACAACAGGTTCTTTTTTTGGAGATAGGGTCTTACTAAATTGCCCAAGCAAGCCTTAAAATTATAGTACTCTTACTCAACCCTTCTCAGTAACTGAGATTATAGGATTGTACCTCCATGCCCTACTAAGGTTAAATTCTTTATTCTTTTTTAAAAATTCTTTATTCTGATATCAGGACCCTTCCATGTTTCCTGAACCTTTTTAATCATTATACTGAGTCTTCTTTCATTATGTGTCTCTTGTTATCACCCAGAGGTCAGAGAAAGACATCTTTTTTTCCCTCTGTCTATATTCTACCTTTCCTTTAAAGCTCAACCCAAATCTCATTTTCCCCAGGAAGCTTTTGACTTTTTTGGACCTAGCTGATGTCTTTCTTCATTGTTCTACTACTATTTATTATCATATAATTTACTATTTTTGCATGCTTGGACATTTAATCATCTATGGCAGGGACTTACAATTTATGACCTTGAATCAAATTTGGCCTGCTGCCTATGAGCTAAGAATGGTTTTATATTAAAATTTTAAAGGAAGACTATTTTGTAACACATGAAAATGATATCAAATTCAAACTTCAGTGCCCACAAATAAAGTTTTATTAGAGCATAGACAAACCTATATGTTTACATGTTGTCTACAGCTGTTTTCAAGCTACAAGTGGGAGACTTGTCTTTTTTTTGTCAGATCGTCTTTTTATTGAAATATTTTCTTTCTTAGGCTTCTTATTCTTAGCTAGATGGGCACTGCACAGTACCGCTGTTGATGTTGTCTCTGATGTCATGAGGGTGCTGGCCATCCACATTGCAACCCACAGACTGGGCGGTCCCCAGGATCTCTTTAATGGCTCTGGAAACTTCTCTGGCTAAAGACTGGTGCTGCATCTGTCGGGCAATGTTAACAATCTCATCAAAAGTGATATTTCCACTGTGTTTAATGTTTTTCTGCTTCTTTCTATCTCTTGGCGGCTCCTTGAGGCCTTTGATGATCAGGGCAGAAGCAGAAGGCACCACCTCATTCTGAGCCTGTCTGTTCTGAATTGTCACCTTCACCGTAATCCTCAAACCCTTCCAGTCACCAGTTGCCTTGGGGATGTCATCACCCACCTTGTTCGGAGACAGACAGGGGACCGATCCTGGGGTCCAGGGCAGATGTAGCACCGACTTCACCACAGGTGCACCTCAGGTACACGATTTTGACCTCGTTGGGGTCGAACTTGGGCAGCTTGGTGGAGGCGAACTTAGTACGGCCGAAGAAAGTTGCACCTTAGCCTCCTCCTAGCTGAAAGCCAAAAAGGGGAGACTTGAGTCTTAACAGAAAACAAATACAGCCTAAATCCTAAAATATTTTATCATTTAGTTGTTATAGGAAAAGCGTGCTGATATCTGACCTAGGATCTTAAATTCTCTCTATAATCTTTTCATAGCTGTTTAAGAACTATGGGAAAGTCAATTTCACTAAAGACGGTCTTTTAAAAGATTAATTAGCTGTTTATTAGAAAAGTGAGGGAAATCAGAGGAGGAGGCTGCACAGAGGGTGTAGGAGCTGGCCTGGTTAGAAATTTACTAACTCAGGCAACCAGATTCCCACTGGAAAGTGAAAGTCAGAGGATCTCAGGTAGGTGAAAAAAAAGAGAGCATTTTTCCATCTTCTCTGTTTCCAACCTAGCAAAGGAAATGTGAATGAACAGAGGGTATAGCTAGAGAGAGGGCTATTTTAAGCCTTACCTAAATCTGGTTGTTGGGAAGAGATCAGTGGTTACTGCTGGAGACAAATTCAGCTATTAATAATGACTGTCACAACAGGGCATGAAAGATACCTTCAAAAGCGTGTAATTGCTAAAGCTGGAAGTATAAGTACAATACCCAGAAGTATTATAGACATGAGAATTTAAAGGATTTTCTTCAAGCAGAAATGAAAGTTACTCGAATAGTTGCTGAAGTTATCACAAAGTTTATGATGTTTACCTAGGTGTTCTGTTTGTTTTCTACTTCCTTCATCACAATTCTTTCGTAAAAATTATAAGCATAGTAATTATGTGGTAAAGTTCCACCTTATTGAAGAATAATCCATATAGATTGAATGGTGAGCTTCATCTTTTACATCTGCTCCCACACCTTGGCAGAATCTGCGGGGCTAGTTTTGAGACCCAAATGATTGCTACGCGCTTGCAGGAAGATGCAAGCCAGCCTCTGGGAGACTGCATTTGCATATTTCAGTGGCACGTGTAGGTTCAAGTTGTGTCTTTTTTTAAAAATTTCTTTTTGAGCTTCATGACTGTAGCACAGTAGAGGGCATATTGTTGGACTGAATTTGAATGAAAACACAGTTGTAATAGGGAAGCTCATTACTTATTCAAGCGGATCCTGGAGGGCCACCATTTTGTTGAGGAGATTTCCTTTTTGTTTTGTCTTGTGTAGGAAAAACCATTTGATGAATCCAAAAGTGTCTACCAGTTCCTAAAATCTATGATCTTCCAAATCGATTACGCACTTCAAAATTTTCCTGTTATTTGCCCCCGTGTGCTGGCCTTTTGCTCCAGTCTCTCCTCTCCTTCTTCTCTTCCTGCCCCCACTCTCCACGAGGTTCTCTATTCAGTCCTAATCAGTCAAGCCACACCTTGGCTTAAGTCCTTTCGTTCACTGGTCCCTGCTTTCCACGTACCCTCTCCACTTTCAGCTTTTCTTCTTTCTCAAACACGCACACTCCTTTCTTCCCTCTCGCTCCCTCCCTTTTTTGTGTACCACTTCTTACTCCCTCTTCTTCATTGCTCTCCCTGCTTCATTTTCTGTCCTCTCATCCCCCGACGACGGTGTCTCCCTCCTTCCCTTTCTCGGTCTTACCCTAGTTTGGAAATGCAGCAGACCTCGGAGCCTAGCACCATTGGATCTGAGGGGCTGTCACTCTGCGGTAGGAGGAGCTCCGGTTGGTCGGTCTGGGAGTCGGGGTGGGTGGGTGGATACCGCACAGGATATAAAAGGTGAGGCCCCCAGAGGGGCGCTGAGCGGCTCCTCCTGGACGGGGACGCAGGGGTCCCAGGCTGGGAGGTGAGCGCTGAGACCCGCTGGTGCCGGCCGGGAAGCAGGAGCTCTGCGCACCAACTCGGTACTGCTGCTCAGCAGAGGTCGTAGCCTCGGAGCCCGCCACTCTCGACTGCTGTCCACGCGTCCCCGAGGACCCCGCGTCTCACCTGTGAGCCCCGCGCCCAGTCCGGCCGCCGCGATGAGCGAGGTGAGCGGCGTGGGCACCCCGGGCTGCGGTGGGCGAGGGCTGCGGCGGGGAGGAGGCGTCGGCTCGGGGCCCCTCGGAGACTCTGCGGGACGCCCACTGTCCCTCTGGGATAGCTCCCACCTCGGGGCGCTGTGAAGCGGTTGGGGGGGGGTGGCTTTAAGTCTCCCAACTGTGGATCGCGCTTTTGGGGAGGGAGAGAAATGAGCTCTCAGGTGAGAAGCCATCTCCTAGGGTGTTGCCCCTGCCTGTCTTACTGCTCCGAGGTTATGCTGGCTTCCCTCACTGCCCTCTTGGCGTCCAGACTCCCTCTTCTAGGGTTGTATTGCTCTTGCATTGCTTAGGTAAAACCAACAAGAGCTCCAATCCTGGTGCCCCGGGCATGGCCACTTTCCTCCTGTTAGGAAGGTGGCATCTTTCACGCATTCAGCCGGGAACCTCCGAGGGACCGTTTCTGATATTCAGAAGTCCTGCTGTGGAGGCATGTCCAACCCCTGAGGAGATGTCCCCTTCCAGAGTAGACCTCCCCCTGCGGCAGTTGTTAACGCTAAGTCTTCAGGCAGCCTCTGTGGGGTTCCAGGAGCCAGATCAGGTCCTTCAGCAGATTTACTTTTTCCAAAGAACACTGTCCATGGTGGGGACTTTCCAAAGCAGAGACCTACCCGGTCTGTTGACTGGATTTGTAATCTCATGTCAAGGCACAATCTCATATCTTTCGACAAGGATTGTCCTTCCCAAGTGAAGTGGGTCAGGACAGTGGCATCACAAGCTTGTCCCCCATAGCCCCTTTCGTGGTACCTAGGCCCTTGTGTTCAATGCAGCTTCTCAGCTGCACACCTGACCCAAGCTCAACTGCTGACTAGCTATATGGCCTTAGACAAATTACAAAACTTTTACATGCTTCATCGTTTTAATCTGTAAAATGGGTTGTTTTAATGATTAAATGAGATTAAATGATATATGCAGAATACTTTGAAAAGTACCTGGCAGAGAGAGAGCTGGCACTCTATGTTAGCTATTATCTCTCTCTGTGTGTGTGTGTGTGTGTGTGTGTGTGTGTGTGTGTATTTTTTCCTGTTAGAGTATCACCAAAAGCTAGGATAAGAATTCTGAAGGACATCAGGTTAGCAAAGGACCCTGGAGGCTGAGTCTGAGTTCAGATACTAAAGATGAAGATTTTCAACAGTTCTGTTGGCTCCCACCAAAAGACATCATCTAGGGAGCCAATTAGTGCCAACTTCTATGTTGTCTTGGTTGCCATGTCTACTGAGTTTGCCCTGGAAAATTCAGCCAGTCTTGGGGGCTGCAGAAGAAACAAAGTGGTTTCCAGTTCCTCAACTCGTGACCATGACCATGGCAGTCTCAGAAAGAAAAGGAAAAATGAACTAACTTCTCTCCTCTTGCTTTTTTCAGCTCTGTCATGAGAAGGGAGGTTTTCTTTCCCTTCTTTTTTTTTTCTTTTCTGTGGTACCGGGGATTGAACTCGGGACCTTGTGCTTTCGAGGCAGGTGAGGGAACCACTGAGCCAAATCCCTGGACCCTCTTTCCCCTCTTTTTACTGAGGTCTAGGGTTCAGACCACTCCTCCCCACCCCACTGTTTCTAAATCTGAGCATTTTAATCCAAGCCATCCCCTGGGAGTTTATCCGATTGCTATGCCAACATGAAGATTTGTTGGTTAGCCTGTGCTTTGAGGGGAGAAGTGCATGGCCACTCTGTGGGGCACAGTACAGGAGCTAGCATTTACAGTGGTACTTGGTGGAGTGACAAAGCTGTTTCAGGCCAGGAAAACAGTTTGGTGTCTGCTGGGGGAAGTCAAGTTTGGGCCCCCTCCTGATAGCAGCTGAACTTGGCTCGCCTGGTTTAGGGGCTCAGTAGGGTGATGAGAGTAGATCCTTAGATGGGGACTAACTCTGCATATGCACGACTGCAGGGCCCCCTAGTCTATCAGAACAAAGGGGTTCTAACTAGCAATTAGCCAATGGAGCTGCCTCCTACTGAGCTGAGCCTGGCTTCAGGGATGAGTATTCCTAACATCCAGAAGCAGCCACCTGGGTGTATACAGAGACCAGCTGTCTCTGAACCTGATCCCCTTGGGGGTCCCTGCTTCCCTCGAGGCCAAACCCCAGACTGTTTTCTTCCTCTTTTAAAACTATGATGAAAAGTGGAAGTGTTGCCCAGAGCCCTAGAGCTCTAGGGAGACTCCAAACTGCTTCATTCTCTCAGCCCAGCCCCACGGGCCTCTTCTTTCAGGCTGAGATGCCTGGGCCAGGAAAGCCCCGGGTACCCTGAATCACACATTTCACCTCCCCAACCTGTTTATTTTCTTGCTTCATAAAAACTGCCTGAAAAGAGAGGATTTGGCATGTCTTTAAGAGATTCCTATTTCAAGTGAAGAACAACAACTGGGAGGGAGCCTCCAGACCTAGTGCAGCGAACAGCACAGGGGTTCTGGTGGGGCTGCTGGGGAGGCTCTATCTATCTCTGTTTTGCCTTGGTGGCCCTTTGCTGTCACTCAGTACTGCAGCAGAGCATTTCCCTGTGAGTGTGTGTGCGCTCGTGCGCAGAGGAGCTGCAGGGACTCATCTCCAGCTTGTCTGAGTTCACAGCTGCAGGCAGGTCTTGATTGCTGTGAATCACAGTCTGTCTCCTATAGTTCAATAACTTTGCCCTTCTTTCAGTGAGGATAGGAATGAGAGATGCATTCAGTGCCTGAGCGCTCTTCCCTATAATCCCTCCCATGCAGTATAGCTGGCTGCTTAAGGCAGAACTGCAGTTCTCCTTTGAGGAATTTCTCATCCATTTGGAACCCAGCTGGAGGAATCCCATGGTCCGGCAGTCATTCTGCTGAAGGGGGATCGTGGATTACTGATGACAGTCCTCATGGCACCTGTCCTGTGCTTTGGCGGGCAGGGGCTGGAGCAAGGAACAGATCAACTAGATCATTAGGGGAGAGCTTGAAACTGGTGCTCCCTCCTTCTTACCTAGTAGGGATGGGATGTCACACTTTGGGGACCACATTCTGTTTCCTGTGCATATCTGTCTGCATATGCAACCTTCCCCACAGCGGAAATTCAGTCACAGTGATACAATTCTGTTATGTTTTCTGTAAGTGAGTTGTTAGGGAAGGACCTGGGGAAACCCAAATTTCTCTCATTGATATTTTGTTATGATGATTATGGTTATATTGGACATACAACATAGAAGGAACAGCTACTTGTTATTGGAATGCCTTCAACCTCTGGAAACATTTGTCTTGCAAAGTAAAGAAACTAGAACTTGGTTTTCAAGCTTGCTTGTTCCTTTTCTGGTCACCCATTTAGGTTGTTGGTTTTAGCTGCTTGAGCTGGAGCTTCTGCTTGGTGGTAAGTGGATGATTTTGTCATCCTGTGACCTGGGAATATAAATGACTCTTTTGTCCCAGGTGGTAGCTGTGATCAGGTACCTCTTAGAATATCAAGTCTCCATGGAGAGGCAGCCCTCAGTAATGTGGCTGAAGTCCAAATACACAAACCTGATGCATCTTTCATGGCTGCCTGTGAAGGGTCTTAACTATGGAAGTGATGGCTGGTGGAAAGGAGGAAGTTAGATGAGTTATTGTCTCTTTGAATGCCTTCCTCTGTTTTCTTTCTACTTTTCTAAATTTCCAAATGCTCTTTCATGAGCCTATTTTGTCATGGAAAAAAATAAATTAGGTAGAAAGTCAGATGTATCTCCCATCAAGATAACCTCAAATAAAATATCAAAACATTTTACTGATCTAATTTTGGATTTATTCAAGAGCTCTAAAGATCAACTGGCCCAATCTTCTCATTTTACATGAGGCCCTAAGCTTATCTAAGTTTACACAGTACTAGAACCAAGATCTGAACAGTTCTGCTGACTTCTCATTCCAAAACAACTTCCCATAGGGCCTTTAGAACTTGTTACCCCAGTGAATATTGAATAATTTATAGGGAACTTCTAATAAATATACAGTATTATGGAAACTTTCCACAAGAAATATCGGCAGTGTGATTTAACAAATGTTGAGCAATAGGGTAAGAGAGATGAAAGATCTATGTGGAATAATATTTACCAGTATGGTATATTTTGGGAGAATATTAGGCAGGCAGGTACTATCCATCCTAAGGATGCTTAGTCACTTTAAAAATGAGCGCATTGTGGGGCTGAGGATGTAGTTTAGTAGTAGATTGCTTGCCTAGCATGCATGAGGCCCTGAGGTTTGATCCCTAGTGTGGCAAAAACAACAACAAAAAATCCCTTAAAAATGGGTGCATTGCATGTGGTGGAGCAAAGCAGACAAGCTGGTAGGCATGAAGCAAAAGGAAATCCTGGAAGCCTTCTTTTCTTTTCTCTTTTCTTTTCCTTCCTTCCTTCCTTCCTTCCTTCCTTCTTTCTTTCTTTTTTAGACAGGGTCTCACTATATAGCTCAGGCTGGCTTTGAGTTCACTATGTAGACCAGGCTGGCCTCAAACTCGCAGCAATCCTCCTGCCTTAGCCTCCCGAGTTCTGGGATTACACGTGTGCACCACCATGCCTGGGCCTATTTTTCATATTTTCTTAGTTTCTGGTGTCTATCCATCATGACTGAGTCCCATAACTGCAGAGCACTAAGGACCAGGGGAGATTTTCTCTGAAATCTAGGGTATTACTATCAAAGCAATTAGATTACTTTATAAGTCATGTATAAGTGTGTGTGTGTGTGTGCGCGTGTGCATGCACTCGTGCATACTGGGTATCAAACCCAGGGCCTTGTGCATGGTAGGCAAGCACTCTACCATTGAGTTACATCCCCAGGTGGAGCATTGAGAGCAACCCTTTTTGACGTGGAGGACGGAATGTGGGACAGCAGTAAAACTGGTGCACCCGGTGACCAAACAGACACAGGATAGTTAGCTTTTCTCCATTGGCCAGTTGATTTCTAAGTGAACAGTACAAAGGCTCTGGGGGCGTGGGAAGACAAGAGGGAGAAAGAAGAATTGTATTAGATTGCCAAGATAA